ATGTAGCTGCCACCTCTACGTTGTTAACTAGTTTCAGGGCGGTAGAATATTCGGAAGTGCGGCTACCGCTGGAATGGTGCCTGTAACATATGTCCCGGCTGCCAAAGCCTCCATTTCAAGATTACCACATCCAGTGGGTCACCGAACTCATTACGACCACAAATGCCACCCCGCTTCGGTCTTGTTACATGGCGCTCCACCTGAGTGCGAACAGTCCTAGGGAGATAGTTGCGAAGACACACGTCAAGTCGTCCGGTGTTCTCATCTCAGAGGTCAAGTCTGACAAACAGGAAGTAAAACTATATGCATTGATATTTCGCGAACCCTCATATTTTACAGACTGACGTCACGGAAGCATCCATGATGCTTTAAATCGACATACGTCGATACGACTTCCGACGCATCATCAGGAATATCATCAATCACACTTGCATCATCCCTTACACAAGTCCTCAAAAAAATATTTCAGCAACTTTCGGTGGCCCACAGTGAAGCGACCGAGTGGAATAACACATAGTTAATGCCTATAGTGAACACTGTGACACACTGAAACCAGACGCCAGTATGACTATTCTCCCCCAACAACTTGTTCTTCACCAAGCCACACAAGTGTCAGAGGGCGAAGGCTGATCTATGACCGCAAGGCCAACGATAAACTGTAGCATACATATACCGTTTCCATGCACATATAAAATGTCCTGCGTCGATGAGAATCGCACAATCATGTTGGCTGCCGAATTTTCCAATAAAGTTACTTTGTCCTTACGCAGACATAAGGCAAAACCTGAGACGAAAACACCTCTACCACGACTTCTGATGACCTTGAACGTCGATCATCATAACTGCCTACCTCTTCCGCTCACGCACGCCACCTATTCGGAAGGCTTTTCACTTCGATTGCAGAGATCCTGTCCTATGCTTTCGAACAGTTCTTGTTAGCTGACTCAGTGCGATGTTGAGTGGCCTATACCTTATCGTACAGGAAAACTGTGTGGGTCCCGCACCCAGGATAATAAGTTTTTCATCCGGTTGCACGTTCAAATCACCAACTCACACCTCCAGCTGTCGCCAGGATGTTATTGACAATCAATTTAAAATCGATGACAGAACCTGGGAGCTCTACGCGGCCCATTTTTGAACTGGAACAATAGAGAGTTATTCGTGAGCCTTCATTCTTCTTGAGATGGCGCAGTACCAGGTTTTCCAGCATCCATTTCTCAGAGAAACCCCTGTCTAACAGATGAATGTAGGCTGCAACCTTTTCCAGCGAGTGGAAGCAGAAACCTAATACCGAGATATATGACGATTGCTGCCCTAAAATGCGTGTTGTGGTGATCGAATATCTAGTGAAGAGCGAATATACGATCAGTGCATTCATGACATGAAAGAAACGAAGCCTTTTCGTCGTGAATTGATTTTCAATGCCCTTTAGAGTGCCTGTAAAGCATGATGGAAGCCAACGCGTTAGACGCCACTACTGGCAGACTAATACCCTGACAACTGTCCCACAATACATAGGCCTCCTTTAGGACGGAGGCAACCAAAGCTTGTTTTGGGGCTACGAAACAACACTTCCCGAACCTTAGGGTCAGATTTTTGGCCAGACCATTACCTTACCCCTTAAAATTTACAGGGAATGATAGCGTCGTGTTGTCCCCTTAGAATTTGACGTCTCTTACACATATCCATTTCGTCAGTCGAGCCGACGTTAACTGTAAATCTTGCGTAAGGCATTGGAGCTGATCTTGGATACTAGACTGTATAGTGTGTCTTTCTGGCTCCTGTAACATGCCACTTATCCTGAAGAAGTTGCAAGAAGCCCTCAGAAAATTAGTGTTTCGTGGTAGGACTTATTTCTTAGATACAAACAGCCTTACTTTACGGCCCCGTGGTCCATACAATGATCGCCCAGACTTTCTGGAGGCTTGCAAGCTAGGCTTGAAACAAGTCCGGCCGTGTAATCATTTGGAGTGACGGGAGCAAGTGCCATTCATGACGATTTCGACCACCACCAGGAGCCAAGCTGAACTTGCTGTAGAAAGAGTGGTAGGCATAAATACACGTCCACCATAGGCAGCTAACTGAAATGTAGTTCATTTGAGTTCAAGTAACCAGGAGACGAAATCGGGTTGCACAGTGACGATGATTTTGTTTGAAGTCAGCGCACAAAGCTAAAGAAAACAGTCCCTGTTATGCGACCTGCAACCAACTAATCCCCACGGGCCATCTGAATGACCATTATCTGGGTCTTGATGGGGGATTTCTGCTTTCAAGTCTCAAGCTAGCCAAAACAGTGCTCATTGAGCGCATCTGGTATGGGTCACTCGGTTGATGAAATGACTCACCGGGACTAAGATGATAAGAGGACATCGTTTCCTTCATCACTCAGTATTTGCTCCAGTCGAACCTGTTAATTATTAAATACCAAGTACCACTTTGTAAGCTTTCATGAACTATCAATTTAACGATGCTTGTAGACTGGTATCCCTCCTGTTAAGTCCATTATATGAATGTAATATTTATTATTATCCAAACTTTAACACTCTGCATGCTCTGAAAAGTGATGTTTCTTCTTCCTTTCATAAGTAGCAGGATCTGCTGTTTTTAATAGAGTTTAGTGATATTCCGCCTGTACCATTCAAGACTTGTAAAACCTTGTAGATTTTTCAATATATTCCAATGTGATGATACCCGTAAACTGGCTTTTCCCACGCTAAATTACTGATGTGAGAATAAACCATTTATTCATTTACTAACCTCCTAGCGTAGCAGCAGATGGATGACTGAGGAAGGGCGTCCAGCCAATTAGTGGAGCTTCAGTAGGAATACTCAGTGGGATACGAGCGCCAGCGTCCACTGCTGATGCCACAGGGCCTTTGGATAAGCGCAATGTCAGTACAGTTTTCTACTTGACACGTGGGTAAATTACCTCACGTACTTCACAGGAGTCACGTTGGCATCCAGGATACAGTCCACATCCACCAATAGGATCTCCACCTCTGGTCAGGCCATCCGTTTTCCGATCCGCAACGAATTCCGGACGTCGAGGGGAGCCAGCGTGAACTGCAAGCATGGTTCCAGGATAATTGCACCAAATATGGGGCCGAAAAACATGTTCCTGGAAGCGAGTGACTGGTGGTTTAAGATGATATTGCGTACCAGGTATTCAGTCACGGAGGAATTTGTGACCGAAGCAGAATAAACGGAAGGATGAACTCCAAAATAAAAACTATACGCAGCAATGAAGGTGGAGCGAAGATAATAATCTAAATAATTGATAAATTCTGCCACCGTGAGTTTGATAAGCACCTCCCGTGTTTCATTTTAAGTGCTGATCTATAACCTGTATTTGGGTTGTTATACTTCCGGAACCATTTTAAGGAAATCAACCCTGCGGCGTTAAGCCGTCTCCGTGACTCTCTTCGGCCGGTCGCTAGAAGCGTCTGCTTGCTTAATACGATTATTGGAGAGAAACTTCGTGTTCCTCGCCATCACAGATGTTTTGATCCGCTGCTACGTATTTCACATTTGTGACTCTTCAAAACTTACTCGTTGCCTCTTGAGTCCCTGTTTTTACCTGAGAAATCGTAGATCAAGCAGGTTGCACTACTGAGGTACCTGCTTCCACGATTCGTGATGACTTAATACTGCCATAGATGATCACGCTGGTATGTACTCCGATATTGTTACGAAATAATCAATGTTGCCAGTTGAACGTCGGAAGACAACTGTCTCACTTAATGGAAATGAAGTTCTTATTCAGGTTGTCAGTTGAGTTCAGATAAAAAATATCTGGTTTTAGATTATTACACTAACTTCACTGCCCAACAATTCGCCACATATACATTACTTTAGAGTTGCCAATTACGATAGTTAGGAAGCCGGTCACGAACAATTCGCTACTACTACTAGCCTCATTTTAAACAACCCGCGTGACACAGTTTGAAGGTCTCGGCATGTGATGTTTCAGCACACTCACTCCCACCCACACTGGTAACAAGGAGGAACTGGAGGGATGGAAGGGCTAGATAAAGGGCTATTAAAGAGGAAAAACAGACGGTGATGGGAAGTTGTATAAAATGGGCTCTAAATATTTTCGGACGCCCGGAAACGGAGGAAAAGAGGCTACCACTTATTTAGATTCTATGTCCAGAAGCGGTGGATCGCAAGTTTGTTAACCCATGTACGCAGCGAAGAAAGAGACAGAAGGCGAGATCAAAGCAGGGAAAGCAAGTTGACTTTGACTGAACGAGCTCTCAGACCGTAAGTGGGTGACAAGTCGGCACATCATGACTACCAAATGAAGCTGCCGGACTTAGACGAAGTTGCGATCGATGTCTAAATCATTCTGCCTCTGGTTTAATATCTATTTGTCTTCTACTTGGAGTCAACGCTGCAATGAAGGTTATATAAGTGTAGTAGGTGTGTTCAAGGGCGTCTCGGATATTGTTAATCACTTACTTAATCCCTCTTTCCATTCTATATTCAAGAGCATATAGATAAGGGAATATTGGTCGTCCCTGGTATTTTCTGGCCTAACTTATCAGTCTTCCAAATTGGCTTTTTCTTGAGGAGATGGGAAAGACTTAAGTCCCGAGCACCAGGGGCCATATGTTGCTGTCGAAAATCTGGTGGTGGAAAATACCTGATAGTTTGAAATGAAATCGCTATCTGCTGTGGCTGATATTTGGTCTCGAGGAGCCAAAATACCCAAATCCTTGTTCATTTACTACGTTTTCAGTTATATGACGGTTAAACTAGATAATAAATGTGGTGAGTAGCTGGATATCACTGTTATGTTTCACAGAAAAGTGAGTCATTTACCAATGAAAAAATCTTTTTATGATATTCACGGCAGTAGATTATCGAAATACTGAGATGTAAATTTAATGTCACATCATTTGTGAATATTCTCTAAAATTTGTTTGAAATGTTGTTACTAGTCTGTTGTTATGGTTATGTTGTAGTGAGCATTTGATTATCAGATTACTAGCTTACAAATGTCCGACGACGAAGCAGAAGAGATTGAAGAAGAAGAAGGTGTTTATTTGGGTGTAAGCATGTACATTCGTATCATATTTTGTGAGCTAGGAATATGAAGGAGGTAGAAATGAGCGTGATGAACGGCACGGCTACGGAAAAGCAACTCTTCCAAACGGAGATACATACGAAGGAATGTATGAAAACGGGAAACGAAACGGAGCAGGACTATACAGGTAATTTTTGTTCTTCAAATGCTAGATAAGGTTTAAAAATGGCGCACGATATGATGGGTCTTATGAAGATAATAAACGTCACGGTCAGGGCACCTTTTATTATCCCGACGGTTCAATCTACGAGGGTAAAACTTAGTTGAATTGAAACTATTTTGTTATTTAGGAAATTGGAGTGAAGGATTGAGGTTCGGGCATGGAAAATATACATATATCAATGGAGATACCTATGAAGGGGAATGGAGGGATCATGTAAAGCATGGCAGAGGCACGTATACTTTCGCCGCAACCAAATTACAGTATGTTGGAAACTGGAAGGCTGGAAAGATGGACGGACATGGAGAACTGATGCATCCTCACCACCGCTTCATCGGGTTCTGGAAGGATGGAATGGTAATTCGTTTTCATCCCTTCAAAAATATTTGTGATTTACGTGAATGGCTGTTTTACGTACAGTGACCTGAAGCAGGCAGTTTCAGCCTACTGAATCAAATATTCAACGCCAACCTGTTTGTTACCCATTGTGCGTCTTGTGGAACAGTTCAGAGCCTTTGTTGGACTCCAATGCGTAAATTCAGCCATTCACCAGGTTATAGCTCTAGTAAGCCTGAAGAATGGTTGAAAATTGGTTAAATTTGAGAGAGTGTGCATTATTTATTCTGTGGTCTTAGTGTAGATGGATTTCTCGAAAGTTGTATCACCTGAAAGTTGCTCGAACTAGTCGTAGAAGCCAGACAGTTGGAATGAAATGATAACTAAGAAGAACAAAGAAGAGTATATGAGAGAGGCAAAAGTAAGGAAAAATGAAGGAATAAACTTAGATGATCCATAGTACAAAGAAAAAATCTGGTGTGGAGAACGGTGATGAACAAGAACAAGTAGCATACATTAAAAGAGAGGGAAATAGCAGAGAAAATATTGATAGGGATAATAAGATAGCCATGACATTATTTGTGAAGCGTTAACTCGATAGGTCAGGAGTCTAATAGCATATTACGGGTCTAAATAATTTTTCTAACGACAGTGGCCAAACAACAGAATTGGCAAGAAAGCGATGGAGAGTTTTAGACTGAGTGACACCAGTTGGTTGTTTTGAACCAGTCTGTATCTGGACTACATGAGAGCAGGCAGTTCGTCTCTTTGCAGCTTTCAAAACTATTCTTGAAGCTGTCGAAGTATGGAGCGGTAGATGCAGGAGCAGCAGTGCGTTTCAGTGGCCGAAGACTCAGGGAGAAAAGAAATGTGAATATACTCCAGTTTTTATTATTTTATAGGCAGTGAGATTTGGTTTTTCACGAGGACTACCATTAGTCACCTATATGTGATATTCCACTGTTCCGGTTTCCTGAACTACTTGGTAGTTTCAAGGCCGTTATCCGATCACCATGTAACCTATGGTAAAGAAGGGAGGAAAATTGAGGTCTATCCTTTTATGAATTTTACTGCATCCCTACAACACCATTCGTAGCTATCCACTGGACTTTTTCTAGAGGGTTCATATCCCTTTTCAGGTGTTTGTCCATGAACTTTAGTACTGCGTAGGGTGTGTAGGTATCTTCTGGATATCCGGAAATAGTGTCTGTTTTATCGGTTGGCATTAGTTCCAGGTCTCAGTGGCTGTATGAAAAGAACGGATATCACTGAAAGATTAGGATACTTCCTGCTAGTCGGAAGTGCACAAAAACACGGTTTGGCACTTGTCCAGCTTAGGTGGCAGTCTATTCTTTCCCATCAACTTCCAGCATTTTGAGGTTGCCTTGTAGTGCACTTGATTCTCGTCCAAATATCCCAGCTGTACGTAGCAGAGGAGCTGAGACCTGATGGAAAACTATTAACACAAAGTAGTAAGAACGAAGGGCATAAGTGCTGCTCTAGAAACCTCGGATGGTGGTGCTGTCCAGGTTGATAAAACTCCGTTTACTCCTCTAAAGAACTCCCCAACACCTAACTAGTCGTTTAAATGAGATGACGTCTGACCACTGGTGAATAATTTTGCTACTTTGCTTATAAATATGGCCTTTACGACTGTTTCAAAGGCTTTGGCAAACTCCAGGGAAACCACACGAACAGGGACCTTGAGATGAATGTAGGTCATTATACGATTTGGCTTTTGTTCACATGAGTTGACATTTTTCAAAGAAGTAAGATGCATACAGCCTTAATACATTATTGTTTTATTCAGTTTATAATCTAAACAAGTAAACCAGATGGAAGAGAGAATTGAATACTGAAATTAATAGTAAGGTATGCTTATTGATGTGATGTAAATTACTGTTATTCAGTGCAAGTACAGATATATTGTCTTGAAAATTCAGATAAAACGATTTGGGACTTTAAACAAAAGTGCATGTATTCAGCCTTGAAATTTCTCAGCAGAATTGGAAAAGTTTTGAGAACGGACTCAAAAATGTGATAGGCTTTTAAAACAGGCTTTTCCATGAACCTGTGCATAACTGGTCAATTGTGAATAAGTAGTTCGACCTGGAAAAAGATATTCACACACACTGCATATAAAATACGCATAACTCCTGTGTATTTAACCTATATTTCTCAGGAAAAAAATTTCAGATAAGCAGTTTATTCATACTTCAGCAGTGAATGTGCATCAAAGCAAAGTAACTTTCTGTTTTAATAAGCTTTAGTATTCTGTTTCTGTAAACGTCAAGATAAAGTGACTATTTCTAAAGGCTATTATTTATTGAGAATTCCGTTTTTCTATTAGTCTGATGAACTAATATAGTGGTTGATGAACAACTGTACTAACATGACACTATCTTTTGGTTTAGGTTCAAAAAGTTCACATTTTTGCCACAGTTATAACTACCAGGTGAAAGTTATTCACCCTTGTTAAAATTTCACAAATTACACCTCTAAATTTGTTTCTCTTTTGCAAGGTCGGCTGTTAATGAGGTATTACCCATAAGTTAACGGGAAATCACACAAGTGTATTACAGTTTCTAAACACTGATAAGATTCATAAATCCATTTTGTCATTTTTAAAAGGTTGAGAAAAGTGTTTTCATGACCTTAAATAGCCACTACGTTTTGCATTTCCAAGCTTTTAACGGTTAGTAGTTAATCTGTTTACGTTGTAGACGACAGCAACTAGAAAATAAAACTTGCAAACGTACTGCTCTCCGTTACTAGAAAATAAGTCCTAAAATATTCATCTGTTTGCTGAATGAAAAATAAATACAGTTAGCTACAGCTACAATTTTAGGTCATCATATACTTTAAATTGTTACCTTCTATGAAGATCAGACGACCATAAAGAATAAGCAGCAAGAAACTCTGGCAAAGAACCAGCAAAGAACCTATCACCCAACAAATATGCTCAAGAAAATGGAGATGGATTGGGCATACACTGAGAAGGCCGATTGGGGACATCACACGTCAGGCTAGGTCCTGGAGTGGAATCCAAAGGGGAAACGATGAGTTGGGCGTTTGAGATGAGGGTGGTATGGAAGAGATCATGTGAGGAAGAAATAAAAGGAGCGAGGTTCAAAGGACAGATTCCAATGAAGGCGTGCCACTGAAGTCCTACGTTCCACTAGAAACCCAAGGGAAAAATAATAAATAATAATAATAAAAATTTTTAAAGTTTGTTATTTGTAATAGAAGTTGAACCGCACAGAGAAACATTTGTAGAGTGAATGTCTGTCAAACTTCCTAAAGAATTCATAATTCCTGAAAACTTGTTTTGGCAATGATTTAATCAAAGCGTTTATGAAACTACAATCTTATAATTAACCATCTAATTTCATTTAGTGCAGTCTGATCGTATACGGTAACAGCAATACTAATGGGACTTCAGGAACCAACTGTAGCTGAAAACGTTTGTAGACGCTACTAGGTTTTCCTTCAATTTAAGTGTTGTTAAAAATGGATATAATTTTGGTGCTGACTTACATACTTAGTTGGTAGTGAAACTAATGATCAAGTGATCCCATTTAAACTTTCTCATACTTTTTCAAGTTGGTATTCATCATAAACTCACGTAGTTCAAAGAACATTCAAAACCTCAGAGCACTGGACAGCTAGTTCGTCCCACTTTCATGGGACTTCTCACCCCTTCGCACCCATCGTCCCCCTCCAGCTCGCCACCTATCGAATCCAGGACCTTCAGGTTCTGTAGCCAGCATATTACCATTGATCCCCTGGGTTGGAACCCAGTCGTCCACATTTTATACTTCTGTTAGTTCACGACATAGCGGAACCATCACCCAATGTCATCATTGAGTATTTGTCCACACGACCACCAGCCTTACCTCACCGGTTACGGCTTTTCGTTGCAACTTCAGTAATTACCTCTCGAAACTAGTCACCAATAAACACTAGATCAATTGAATTCAGGGGTTTATGGGGACTGAATGATTTTTCAAGTTGGTTTTCACCATATACTAACATTAGTTATAATTAATTAACTATGAAACACCTTAGACACTATATAACATGCATGAGAGTTGTAAAATCATTTATGTAGACATAAATGAACCTGCTTTCGATAAAGTGTCTTTTGTTCTGTTTTAAATACTCATAGAAGTTACCTACGTTTTAAAAATAAAATGTAATTGAGCTTTAAAACTTGTTTTCTTTTAAAATGAAGGTTATAGGAAAAGGGAGATACGTTTTTCCTAATTCAGGTTGTCAGCAAATTGGAGAATATTTGGCTACTGCAGCTGTAAGTTATCCAATTGTTTATAAAGTATTCTATTGTGTCAAAATGTAAAAGGTGTAGGCCTCTTAGCTAGAGTTCTTCAGATTGTCAAAACTAATAGTCAAGCACATTAAGCGGTATGAAATGTAGTAGATCTATCTACCACTTATCTCGATTTTATTTTTGCTGACTTGTTTTGTTCTCATTAGCACTCATATCATTTTCACTCTTATTGCTGACTTCTCCTTTGGTGAACCACAACCAGTTATGTCAGGTCCGTTGTTGTTTGCATTCTCCCGCCGATAAGTTAGCAAGAGGCTGACAGAGTAATCTGTTTTCTGGAACTGATGTTACATGGAATCTCCTAACGCATAACTTAAATGTGTTTGCTTTCCTTCTTCATCTTAAAAAAATTAGCAATTGGTGTAAACTTCGCATCTTAGTGGGAAACACATCACCCACTCAGATGAAGTTACGTCCAGTTGACAAGATAAAAAGCGTATGATGGATTCCTCTACTAGCCAATATCACACAAATTACACTAATATTTGAAACATTCCCGGCATCTGATTCTTAAAATATAGAATATTTATTAACTGGATTTGTACTTAACAATTTCTGTTCACTGACAGCACTGGTGAAATGCACAGGAATCCTGAGAAGTTGGTTTACATGAAGATAAAGGCCACCGGTACGAATTCAACTTCATGCTTGATAAAATTGTTAACAGAATGATACGGTGGAATGTGATTGTCAACATTATTTATTTATTTATTTATTCTTTTTAACTAAAAATCTCAACAACAATGTTGATCAAGATGACAGATGAAAAATTACCAGAAGATGAAGATAGTAAGATAATTCCACGCTGGAAAGCAACATTAATTGAACCACTCAGTGAGGAAGCCAAACAAATCGGTATAACTCCTACGCTTGTAGAAGATAAAGGTGATTTAATTTTACTACCAATGTTATTATATTATTCTTTGGTTTATTGATTTTACTCATATCTTATACTATAATCTTAAATGTGTTCTATCTTTATAAGACAAGATAAAGAAGGTCGAAAAGGCTTAAAAAGTCGATGACTATGAGGAATAAATCGTAATTTAGTAAACCAGATGAAGTATAGTAAATGAACAGTGACTAATCTATGTAAGATCTCACTTTTTAAAACTGCGAAACACCTTATGAACACAAAATTATTCTGTATATAAGTTTAAGAAAGTGGATTATAATTATATCAAAAATAACTAACCATTCAGACAAAGCTAACCTGAACTATCTATCATAAGCGTGAAAATTAGGCATCGAATTAGATTGTAACTCCATTTCAGCTTGTTAATGATGGACGGTGGCTAGCAGTGGAATCCAGGACGCTCATTTCGTCCCATTTGAGACTCGTCAGCTGGATGTACCTGGTGGGAACAACATCACTCACTGGGAAGCAGGTACATTTAGCTGAAGAGTCTTAAATAGGACGAATTGTGCATCCTGGATTCCACTGCTAGCCACGATCCATAATTGAAAAAGTTAGAACGCAAGCAATATCGAGGCATCCATTTCAGTTTGTTTATTACAAGTTTCGTACATGGCGAAACAGTATTCCTTTCTGGATAACTTTACAGGTACAATTTATAATTCATATCCAGATGAAGGTAACTTTTCACCTTTGAGATATGTTGTTCTAGTTCTCTCTCTCCCTTTCGTGAAAATGGCAGTAGATTTTCCCATATATCTGGAACATCTGTTGAGTTATTCCTGCTGAATGTTTATTCTGTTGATTCGATAACCATAGATTGGGATCCCAATCATTTTCTCTATTCTACTAAGTTGGTTTCTAAGACTATCATTCTATCCCATTCTATTGTAAATGATCGCATCCATAACTATCGTCAAGTCTTTTTCTAGATTCCTTGCCATGATTAAAAGGAATTTTCGTCAAGAATTGAAATCACCTGGAGAACCATTAAAATTAGACAGTCGTTCCGTCCTAGTTTAGGACTCCTCACCGATGCACTCTCATGAACCCGTAACATATCCATCCTAGAACCGTCAAGTCTCATGGTTAGCGAGTTGTGACTCAGCTACTGGGCTGGATGCCAAGAGTCCACTAATTTTTATTTATATCAATTCCATGTATTGTGAGACAGTCACCCAATGTCATCGTTGAATATTTGTCCTCACGTCCACTAGGTTTGCCTTACTGGTCACGACTTCTCATGGGAACTTCGGGAATCACCTCTCGAAGCTAGACACCAAAGAGCGCTAGATTAATTCGATCTAAAAGTCGCGACCAGTGCAGTCAACTAAGACGAACATGAGGACAGTTACTCAATGACGACATTGGATGTAGGTCAGAAGTTAGAGCATGGACCATTGGATTCTGCCGACTCAGAGGCTCAATGGTTACTTGTTGGCCACGGAACCTTGAAGGTTCGGGGTTCGATGCCTGGTGGGGTGGGGTAGGATCATGGATGCACGGTGGTGAAGAGTCCTACCCAAGAGGGACGAAAAGGCTGTGCAGTGTTCCTAGGTTTCCAATGTTCCTTCACCTGATGTCATTCCTTGATGAATTCCAACCCATAACATCATCCTTCGTTAAAGACTAAAGTCTGCTCCATTCTCACATTTCGTTCAGGAAGTAACTGTTTACAAATTCGATCCATAAATAAATTATTTCTATTGGTGTGTATTAGATGATAATCAGCGGTATAGTGTTTAACTGATGCATTGTCTACCTTCATTACTTGAGGACTTGCATCAGCCCGAACAAGCTAGCTGCTGATGAAATGTCAGCTTTGACACAAGGAGCCAGTTAGGCATTTTTCGCGCCAAATAGTGAGATATCCGACTACCTTTCAGAGGACAAATATAATGCGGTGAAGTTCCTTATATCCTATTACATGGCTATGAGATGAAGCTGTTGAATGATGAAGAAATGAAGAGACTTAAGGCTTTTCACCGCAGATGTATTCGTACTATCGCTCACGTATGAGATGATCACCATGTTAGCAGTGTCAAGCCCAGTCGAAGAATACAAGACAAAACGCCCAGGTCAGTGGGTGAGATGGCTTTGAAATGTGTTGCATATGCTAAGCCACTGTCAACCTCGACTTGTAGTCCTAGTACACGTTGAATTAGGTTATAAGAAGGCTGAGGGTGGTCATACTAAGATGTGTCATCAGTCCTTGAAGTCTTTGACTGGTGGTCTGAGCCATATAGAGAGGTGTAGACTATCTTACTAACTTCTTCGTGGCGACAGATTTCGACGATCGGACAACCTTGATGAAATGGCTGAAAAGTGGTTAGAATGACGCAGATGTATTTAGCATTTGATGTCTTCTAAAGTTTGAACATTTTCAGCAACACTCGTTTCTAAAATCCTCTCTCCTCCTTAACAGATTCGTCTACTTCGATATCACACTTGAAACGATGCAATTCTTTATAAAGTTTTATGTCGACTTTATCTGTCTGTTTGTGCATTTACTTATTCATCACAATACAGAAATGTTTTGTGAGGTTTTACTTAGCATTCTATGTTTAAAATGATAGATGTTACTTTACAGTGACTTTATATATATATATATATATATATATATATATATATATATATGTATGTATGTATGTATGTATGTATGTATGTATGTATGTATGTATGTATGTATGTATGTATGCTCGGTCGATTTTAATGCACGACCAACTACATCTTTGTCTATGATTAAAGCGTTGAGTCGCATTAGGTCTAATCTCTTCCACAAAATAATTTACCTCAAAGTTTTAAATTACCCATAAGTATGAAAAAAGCACAGTGCTCTCTAGTATATACAAGTCATGGTGCATAGTAACTTGTTGTAGTATAAAGGGGCGGATAGACAAACTCAACGATGAACCTCACACACAACTCCATCGGTTCAAGCTGCTACACTTCACAGTAGTGTACAAAGAACAGGTAGATAGCATAAGAATGACATCAAAGTAGAAAAAGTTGTGTGAGAGAATAAGCAATTTAAAGATTAAGATTTGTGCAAATATTCAAGCTTTTGGAGACGTCAAACAGTCAATCCATCTCTGCCATTGTCACCGATTTTATCTATGTCACCAAGAGTTCTCGACCACTGGTTCCGATCGTCTTGGGACCCTGAACAGGCAGTCTACATCTCCCTCATATGATTCAAGCCAACAGTCAGAGACTTCATCGAGTGGGGCCATGTCTTGGTCTGGGCACCATCAACCTTCTTAGAATCTAATTCAACTTTCCTTAGCATTGCACGTCGAGATATGCGGTGAATCGGCATGCATAGTACATGTATAATCCATCTCAGTCGACTAAAGTTCACAAAGTCTTCAACTGAATTGCCTGTCTTGTCGCCAAATACCTCACACCATACCTCTAAACTCTGCAATATAAGTGTATTATAGATTTTCACCGGGTGGGCTTCTCAGCAGTACACCTGGTATGAAGTGGGTGTATTAGCTAAGTTGCATTTTTTTGGAAGGTAGACTGTTCAATAATACATAATTTTGTTAATTACATGTTTGTAGATTTGTTAGACTGAAACTTTACTAAAAAAGAGTTTCGTCAGTTTGACTAGTTGAGATGATTTTGTTTTGGCAAACTGGTATTATTAATACGGAGTGACGAATAACTGTGAAATGTGCTATATACCCCTAATTTTGCAAAGCTTTTGTCTACTGTTTTGCCCACGACTTTAAAATAACCTACATGGCCGTTTTCATACACATACTAGTTTTCCTTCCTTCTACTCTTAAGGCTGAATTCTGATTTTTACCTATATATGGATTCAGTGTTTGTCAAGGTCATTTAGAAATGTATTTATTCAGCATCACTGTCAACTGTATTGACTGTTGTTGAGATAGCGACAGCTCTGTGTCAACGTTTTGTCTTCTCTTCTTGTCTCCGTGCATCGATGGTATTGTTGTTGTGGTGGTTGATGTTCTGATTAGCGTTATAGTCGATTCCTTTGGGAGTTTAGCTCGTATCTTTCGTCGTCTGCTGGGCTCGTATCACTTGTAGACTGTTAGGTTGTATTACCGATAATATCAAAATGAGAACCTAGATCACAGCAGGATTCGAGCTATCCATACAAACAGGGCAAAATATGAGTCCTGAATTCCCCACCAAGTAAATTCTAACTTAAGTGATATTAAATGAAATTTCTGACCTTTCATAACCTCGTGGAAATGCCTAAAGTTGGAAATGAAGTAGTAAAATAATACAATAGTATTTTCTTTTAAAAAAAAACCCTATCACTGATTCAGTCTTAGAAAGCCAACTATTCATTTCTTAGTTCATCAATTTTATCAAATGCAAACAGATTTTAAACCCTATAGGATTAATAAATGATGAAAAACAGAAACAAATGATGACCTGTAGTATGATTTTTTTTGCACTTTCTGTGAATTTATCCTCAGAGAGTCCAGTGAAAATCCTAACCGATGATAAAGTTTTATAGTCGCATTGTTCTTCAAACAGTCAAAATTATTAGACGCTTATTTCAGTGTTTATAACTACTTGAATTTAGTAAATTGTTTGGTCCTCTGAAAACGTGTTGCTGAACATTATACGGTTTAGGGTTATCAAGAGTGAGAGAAGAAAACCAACTTCACCCATATGTGAACACCTAGTAGAATTAGGCTATTCAGCACCTTAAGATTTTCATTCTTTAAGGTAATTTACAAATTTGAATTGAACTACTCTAAAGATTTACGTCTCCACCACTTATGTATAGAGCTGAAGTATTAACTATACATTAACAAAAACTGAAACTTTGCATTCAAAAACGTTTTGTGAAACCTCTTTCTCAATGATTCCTTGTTGGTTATTCTGTCAATTTCATTTCACTTCACTTTGGTATACTTCTCTATTATTATCATCATCATTGTCACCAATTTTCACTTCATTGACACCACTTGTCCCTTATCTCATCACTTGTTATCGATTCATCCTTCTTTATTCACAGTGACTCATTTTCTATTTCTTCCACTTGAACAAATACCACCATCAACACCTATTCTATATTTTGCATATTGACTGAGCAACTGCCTTTTCAGTGTAATTATCTGTCATTTTCCTGAGCTTAAATACCACTGTACAGCTTGAGATAATGAAGTCGTTGAATAAAGAAATGCTTCTTCTTAGCTGATACATATCTAATTCTTATTCATAAATGCAAGTTTTCACTCAATGTGTTCAATGTCTGATAAATGTGTATAATGTATTTTTGAGATGAACGGGGATTTTTAATTTAGAAGTAGTATTCATCATTGACTGACATTAGTTAGGGAACGACTGAAAATCTGGGAGCACGACAGCCCAGAAGCTCTCATTTCCTCCTCACACGATCTCCTCCATGTCACCCTCGGACGACCAACTCGTCACTTCCTATGGGGATTCCACTCGAGCAACTGGCCTGACGCGTGATGTCCCCAGTCGGCCTTCTCAGTGTATGCCCAATCCATCTCCACTTCCTTCTGCATATTTGTTGGGTGGTAGGTTCTTGGTTGGTTCTTTCCCAGAGCTCCTTGTTGCTTATTCTTTCTGGCCATCTGATCTTCAGTAGCGAGCGTAAGCAGTTGTTGATGAATGTCTGTAGTTTATTGGAAATCCCTTTCATGCTGAGTGCAGAAGATCTCCACACTAGTTTCAGGCTAATGAACGCCTGTCTTGCTGTCTTTCCAATTCTGACTTTGACATCGTCTGTCCCGCCATCTGTAGTTGAAACAGTGCTTCCCAGATAGGTGAAGGAGGTTACTTCCTTTAAGTTTCTCCCGTTCATGGTGACTGCAGTTTGTTGTTGTTGGTGGTGGTGGTTGGGTATCTTCATCACCTCTGTCTTCTCTATATTCACCTGAAGTCCCGTCTTCGCTGCCTCTTCTACCAACTTGTTAGTTTTCGCCTGTAGATCTTCAAGTTTGTGTGACATAAGGCACAAGTCGTCACTGGCGAAATCCAGATCTTCTAGGTTCTTTTCCGCAGTTCAGTGTATCCCCCTCTACTCTCTCCCCACTGTTTGCTGCATGATCCAGTCCACCACAATCAGGAATATCATGGGGGATAGTAGGCGAGAACCTTGTTTCACTCCTGTCTTCACTTCAAAAGCATCACTGAGCTTCCCATTGTGAATTACTTGGCATGTGGCATCTTCATATAGTTGTTGAATGAGGCTGATAACGATTTGTGGTATTCTGTTGTATTGAAGCAGTTTCCAAATTACCTCTCGGTCGACGCTGTCAAAGGCCTTCTCAAAGTCGATGAAGTTGAGGTAGAGAGTTGAGTTGACTGCCATTCTATACTCTGTTCTATGATGATGCGTAGAGTGGCGTTGCAATTTGGTCTGCACATGATTTGTACTTCCTGAAGCCTGCCTGTTCCGGTCGTAGTTTTGAATCCAGTGCATCCTTAAGCCTCTCCAGGATGATGCGGCTTAATATTTTACTTGGGGTGGACAGGAGAGTGATTCCTCACCAGTTCTTGCAGGCACTGAGGTCTCCCTTCTTCGGTAGTTTAACAAGGTAACCCTTCTTCCAATCAATGGCCAGGTACCTTCTCTTCCTTCCACACCTTCTGCAATAGTGGTGTGGTGTGAGCATGTCCGCTGTTGTCTCTGCGTCTGCTCCCAGTGCTTCTGGCGGGATCCCATCTGGTCCTGCTGCTTTCCCACATTTCAGTAGGTTTATGGCACTCAGGACTTCCACTTTTGATGTAGGATTTATGTTCACTTGTAGTTCAGCGGTTGGGATGCAGGTGGTATTTCTGGACGAAGTGTAGGTGGTGGTGGTGGTGGTCGATTTAAGAGCTTCTTGAAGTGGTCGGCCCATTGTTTCCTTTGTTTCTCTTCTTTCGTAATTAAATTTCCGTCATCATCTTCCATTGGTTTCGTCTGCGTTGATCTCTTCCCAGATAGTAACCCAGTTATTTGATACAATGTTGTCAGGTCTCTCCTACCAGCAGGCAGCCTGTTCTGCTTCACTTGCCAATGTGTCGTAGAAGTGTCTTTTGTCTTTCAGTGCACTGTTCTTCACTTCTTTGTCCAGTGTAGTGTTTTATACATTGTGCTTAGTTCCTCTTTTCGCTGTGCATCCTTGCACTGCACTGGTTTATCTTCTGCTTCACCATCCTCCTCTCCTCTATCAGCTTCCAGGTATCCGTCGAGATCCATTCCTTATCCTCTTTCTTCTTCCTTCCTAATACTTTTGTGCAGGTTTCCTTCAACATCTCTTTCAAAGAATTCCAGTGTTCTTCCACACAGGTTTCTTCAAGGATGTTCCTCGATATCTCCCACTTTGTCTTGATGGCTGCCGTGAAGATTTCCTTTATAGTTTCATCCTTCAGTTTCCGAGTGTTGTACTTGAACTGTGGTCTATCACCATCTTCCTTGAAGGCTTTAAACTTGATTTGGAAGGTTCCTTGCACTAGGTAGTGGTCTGAACCTACATCTGCTCCTCTTCTTGACCTTGTGTCAAGTAAGCCGACTGCGTCTCCATTTTCTTGAGATTGAGATAAAGTCGATTTGATTTTTAGTGTATCCTGGTATCTGGTGAAATCCATGTCACTTTGTGGATATCCTTGTGCTTGAACACACTGCCTCCAATCACCAAATCGTTGAATGCACAAAATTCTGCAAACAATTCTCCATTCTCGTTCATTTCACCGAGCGCTTCTCGATCCATGGTTAGTTCTCTTCCTGTATTGTCCCCATCCATGATGAATACTACTTCTAAATTAAAAATGCCTACTCATCTCAAAAATACATTACTCTATAGTGCTCATTAGTGACTTGCTTCCAGATGGATATCAGGAAGTTGTAATGAGAAGCCGTGACCTGTGGGGTCAACCAGTCGGAAGTGAAGTGGATGCTAACTGAATCTCTTAGGTGATAGTCGCACTATGTCGTGAACTGATAGAAGTTGGAAATTGTCAACCACTGGAAACCGACTCAGTGGCTGAATGGTTAACACGTTCGCCATGAAACCTGAAGGTCCTGAGTCCCATCCCTAGCCGGGTCGTGGGTGCGTACTGCTGAGGAGTCTCATACTAGGACGAAACAACTGTCCAGTGCTCCCAGATTTTCAATCGTTCCCTAACTAATATCAGTCCATGATGAATACTACTTCTAAATGAGCATAACTTATGAAGTCGTAACTGAATTGATTATGTGATTAGGATATAAATCATTGAGCACCTTTTTGTCCAGCTTATAAGCTTCGTGATATATTCTTCAAGCATAGATTTTTAAGTCTTACTTTTAAGCTTATTGAATTAGTTTATGGTCATGTATTACGCATTAGTCAGACACTGATTAGGTCATATAAAATGTAATATATTCATGATTTTGTTTAGTAAATATTTCCATTCTAATTAATTTTCCATCTGAAAATATTGTATCAAAGGACGTGAGATAAAAACTTTAGAAGTAGACGGTAGTGAAATGAAACAAGTTGCTGATGATGAAGTGGAAGATAATAAAGTGGATCGATTAGAAGATGTAGATCATACTGAAGTTGAAGGAAATCCAGAAGACACTGGCAAAACAGATAATGAAGATGATGATGACGATGTTGGTACAACCGTGAATAATAACGAAGAGGAAGAGTCTGAGGTAATGAAACCTGAAGCTGCAGCAGACGAAGAACAAGATGACCAAGAAGAAGATAATGATATTTAGGAATTATTGAATTTATACCTTTTTTCCCACAATATTTAATATACTATTTTTGACGGCAAAAGACTCTTTTTTTTCTAAAGACATGAAATGATTCGTAAGACTTAATGAGGAATAAGTTATGATACAGAAAGCGGTAAACAAAGTTTTAAACTGTTGAATTGGTGAGAAATATTTTTTAACTTTATACTACGTGATAACTGAAGGTGAACAAGTTCGATTACTTCATGAGAGTTAAAAATCACACTCAAAACTACAGACGCTATCGCAAATACGATCAAGTGTTTCCAGATGATACAGTACGCTGAATGAAACAACCTTCAGTTTAATTTAGTGTCAAAAATTAATAATCCTGGTAGAATGTAGGAAGCAATGATGGTTCATTGACCATTAGAGGCAGGATTAGTTCGGTAATTACACACTTAGGCCAGGAGTTGAAGCTAAATGTGAAGAGAGTAAACGTTTAACTCAACAGTTTTTCCATGAAATTCATTCGAAAAAAGTAGAAGTATTGGTTCGAGCAAGATTTGATACATGATTTATAGTAACTTAAAGGCTACACTTGAATTGATACCTTCCATCAAAAAACCAAACTGGAAAATACTTTATCATTGTTATGCATACACTGACTGACAATAATTGTGAGACAAACTAACAGGGCTAAAGTTAGGTCGATGATTATTAGCCACAAATTATGATCAGAACATCATTCAGTAAATAATACTGTAACAATAAAGTGGTGTATTCAGTGAACCTAATTCCTAAAAAATAGTCCACAGAAACTCTTAAGTTTTATCCCAATATCTTTAAAGTGATATCAAATAGTCGGCGGACTGCAGTGTTTCAGAAAACTTCAGTTCATAAACGGGTGTGACTGTGAAAATCACATTGTGTAGGAAACACTTTGTAACTTCCGTTGTTACGAAACTGTACAAAGCGTTTCACAAAAATAATGGATTGCTAGATATCTTGATATCTTCCGGTAAATCATTTGACCAGACAAGCGAATCAATCTAATCACTGGACACAAGTTGATAGCTCCCATGGAATACTTATTCGATACTTATTCTGATATCATAGTAGAAGGCTATGCTTGTAGAATGAAAGTATAAGGGTAACAGACAATAAATCTTCTTTTATAGGTCCTAAAGACGTTCTGTTACATGAATAGTTCACTTCTAATCTCCATTCATCTATTTCAAACAAACTCTTAACACGATAAAAGTATTAGTGATCAAAGTAAAAGTATTTTTGTCAGTTAAACGTGTGAATAAAGTCACAACACCACAAGACTGGTGTCATGGAAGCCAATGGACACTTTCAAGATGTCTGTTTCACTTTCAGTCACTATTCCATTATATGACGTTTACTTTGTTGAAGTTAGATGGTTTCAATAACAAATTCTGAACTGTAACTATCTAAATTTTAAGTCAGAAATGTGTCACATATCTTGAAGAAGTAAATCGTTACTGTGATTATCTTATCTCCAAAACCAAAAGTAAGTATCTGGAAACTTTACAAGTCATCTTATAAAAACTGCTGCATGAGGTTTTAGCATACACAAATTCCAAAACACTATGTGAACTTGATTTCATTAACTTTGTCGTGAATGATCATCAAGATAACATGGAACTGACAGTTCACAAATTTCAAGTTTACTAATGAATAGTAAAAGAAACTTAGTTTTGTCATTATGTTGCTGTTGAAGTCTTTGGTGTATAGTGTGAAGAAGTATCAAAGTAGGACGAAACAGATGTCCAGTTCTCTCTCCATCATGTTCCTCTGACTGATTTCAGTTCATGATGCATATCACCTTGAAGGCCATCGATTTTATCAAACTTCCACAATAAATTCAAAAGATTTTCTGAAATGGTACGGATAATGAAGAATAAGGAGATTTTAGAGTAACATCATTAACCATATCTTGAAACATTCACCAATAGAAACTTAGAGTAACAAATTTATCTTTAATTAATCACAGATGACAAAAAGAAAGTGATAATTATAAGTCTGTTAAACGTCTCTTACAAAACTGACCACAGGGATCAAAGTTGTGTATTCATTGAAATTCGCCAAACCACTGGTGCCATACCTCTAATTCGATAACATTTTAAAGCTATCATGAAGAATTAAGCAGGTGACCATGTATTGCCACAAATCAATCTCAGCTTACTACCTAGGAGACCTTAACACCTTAGGTTACGTGCAAACTATGGTTATAGTGTGATAAAAAATATTCAGATGATAGTTATTATGAATATCCTCTTCAGTAGAATACACAGTTATGGTGTTTCAAATTAAGACGAAACGATAAGTTATTTACTATCTGGTTTTCAATACTTCTATGGATAAAAAGCGATTGTGATGTAATCTGTTTTCGGGTTACTAGAGATTTAAGTGTGTTTATATTCAGAATACATATCAATATTGCCTTGTTTATAGACTGAATAATATAACGTAGTTGATATATAAATGTGCCGTGTATACAAAGATCAAAATTCTGCCTACAACTACATCTGATTTGTATTACGAATTGACTAGTAAATATGCTACAAGATGATGGTCTTGTTCTAACTGATTTCAGTTAGTTTGATATAAGTTTATGCCAGCTGATACTGAAATCCCTTGTGGAACTCAAGCAAAACACTTACCACTTCATAAACTAAAGTTTTATCCACTGATAGTAAGATAAGGTTCATTCATGTTCAAAGCAGATTTTTGGAAAAAACAAAATTTCATGTATTCATCACGTTTTTCTTAACCATCTGTTTACAGTAGTATGAAATATATACCTTCCTTTGAAAGCGACTAAATATTTGAGGTTTTTTGTGTAGGGTTTGCTGTACAATTAATACATTTTTGGGGGATCACTGCAGTCGTAAATCGAATTCCTGTCTCACCTTCAATTATCACCCAGTATCAATGCAACTCCGTGAAACCATAGGCACCTCAGATAGTCAAAATGATAATCAGTATGATGCTTCCCCTCTCATTCTAATTCAGTTAGGTTTGGATTTGGATGAGAAGTCCTGACTAGGCAGCCAGTGTGAATACGATCAAGTGATAGTCGGGCCCCGTGGCTTAGGTGGTAGAGCATCAGGCATGTAACCCCGTGGTCGCTGGTTGGAATCCGGCCGCGGTTGAAATTCTCGTTTCGCCTTCAATCATCAACCATTATAAATACTAGTCTGTCAAACTACTAATATTTCAGATAGTCAAAGCGATAATAATACTCTGATGAACTTTTGTGCTTCCTCCACTAAACTATTGTTTGTGCATATCATTTAAATTCACGTGAGCATACGCTTGACTAATAGACAGAAACTATGGTACTGAATTAGATACTGTCCTGTTCAACTAGATTTCTTATAGATGGATTGTTTTATTGACTCATAATGTTCATCTGAAAGGAGGTCAGCTTTAACACAATTTTTATTCAGATTGTCAGTAGAAAAGAATACAAACTCAGATAGATGGATACCTTGAACTTTAATCATTCAGTTTAAAACAAGATGAGATGAAATTGTAAGGAATATAAATTTAAGACAGTTCATCGAAAAATGTTAAAATCTCGACTCTGATCATCTTTAATGATGAAGTCATCTGTCAAAATGTTGAATATTTATACTTTGTGGAATAAAACAGTGACAGTTTAACTGTTTCTCCCTTATATTTATCTTGGTGACTAGAGGAGGAATCTAGGACGTGCGTTTCGTCTTACTTGGAACTTGTCACATGGATATACCTGTACCTCAGTGAATGATGCTGTTCCCAATGAGATTCGAACCCGGTACAAATCGCTACAAACGCTAGAGCGTTATCCATTAAGACACTGGGATGCGATAGCCACCAAATGTACAACGGGTATCAGTTATTGTTATGATATTTGTAGTTCCTCGTTAATGAACAGGACTGAATCTCTCGAATTCTGCTTTGATACAGAACGCTTCAAGACTTCACTCTTACACACTTATATGTGATTTTCAACACTGTTTCCCCTGAACTTAATGAGAAATTTTGTTGTTTAATATTTGTAATTTCCCATTGACGTACAGGGTCAAATTGCCTGACCTCTCTTGGCAGATTTTCTCCAATGTTGATGCCTCGATACTGCCGGATATTCATGATGTTGGATTGTTCTCGCAACGGAATCCAGGACGTGTGTTCCTCCCTAAATGGAAATTGTTAGCTGGGTGTATCTGCGCCCCAGTGAGCAATGTTGTACCCACTGAGATTGGAACCGAAAGCCAAAGCGTTATCCAGTTGGTCACTACCCCAGTGGTTAAACTAACCTGACTACCAAATAAAGACATAAGGCAACCTTTCGAAGAGTATGCTACGCAGCATATGGTCAAAAGTACATTGAAAATGAACCTTGTATACTTTTGTAACCGTTCGTAGCATTTGATCGATAAGGTCACTACGAACCATGGCTATTGGTTTATATGTAAGTGTGGTCAAGCATACATCAGGATGACCCATCGGTCAGCAAACAGTCAGATTGGAAGAACTCACTGACCCAGGCAACAAATATTCCACTACGTGTATAACTAAACTAACCATTGAAACTGGTAACAGAACAGATTAGTATACATCTTTCCAACTGGTTTACAAACAGCAGTGGGGCCACATACTTGGGTTCGTTGGAACTAAAGCAAGAAGGAAGTTCAGACCTTTTTTAAGTATTTGAAAACAATTTGTTGTGACACTAAACATCCCATGGCAAGTCAGTTTCAACATTATGGACGATTTGCACACTACCTTTCTCCTCTCATCTACCATTTGATCGCCAAAAATTAACATTTTGCCGCTCTATCATGTCGACTGTTTTAAAACCCGCCTTTTGTGTAAGTATGCAGGAGTAGATAGGATGAATGTGTATGATCAGATCGTTTGTAACGTATTGCTTGAATATATTATAACACGTTTCAGATATACTACATCCTTGAATTGTTTTGTTGAACATTACAATTTAAATTACTTGTAATATTTTGTTTTAATTCATTCGACATTATAGCGGTGAATTTGTATCGGACTAATTTTCTCAGTAAAAGAATATGTTTCACGAAATGTATCATAGTGATAAACAATATATGAAATAAACTTTGTGAAATGGAAACCGCACAGATATTTGAAAAGGCTGATTTTCTGTGGTTTCATCAACTTACTGCTGTAACTGACTGATTCATCAGAGTTCTGCTTGCTTAACTGGATGGTTAGAAATATGAACAGCTGGCAGTTGCATTTGTGTACATATGCATCTGTCGTAACTTGGACTGGACTGTTGATATTTTCAAAACCAGACTGGATTCTCTATTTTACTGCTAACTCTATGGAATCCTGTGACATATACAGACACAGAATATTATTTTCGTTGATTGTCTGAACTAAGGTCCTCAGCTGATCAATTTCTTTGCCTCGGTAACTTCGAAGAGAAAAACTGGTAGGGTGATTCTAGGATTGCTCAAATTGAGTAGATATATACGTAATAAATACTTAACTTATGTATTCCTAATTAACCTTCAGCTTTTGAGAGGCTGTATGAAAACTTCTGTTGTTAAGTCTGAAAGACTTTTGAATCAAAGGTTTCTCTAGTCTTTGAAAAATGTTGATTGGTTGCGGGTGCTATTGGTGATTTTCGATATTTTATAAGATTTATTACTATTATTACTATTTTTCCCTTGGCTTCCTAATGGAACATCGGGTTTCAGTAGCACGTCTCCAAACCACTGTGTTCTCTGCAGTCTTTTCAACCTCGCTTCACAACTGCCCACAACCTCTTATTTCTTCTTCACACGATCTCCTCCATGTCACTCTCACCTTGGACGCCCAACTCGTCGTTCCCCATTTGACTTCCACTCGAGCGCCTGGCCGAGAGCATGATGTCCCCCAATGGTCTACTCAGTGCATGCCCAATCCATCTCCACTTCCTTCTAGTGCATGTTTGTTGAGCGATAGCTTCTTGCTTAGTTGGTTCGTTGCCAGAGTTACTTGTTGCTTATTCTCATTATTCTGGCCATCGGAGCTTCAGTATCGCATGGGCGTAGGCAGTTGCTGATGAATGTCTGTAGATTGTTGGAAGTGCTTTTCGTAACACGCCAAGTCTCTCAACCATTACATACAAGCACTGACTTGACTGACTTAGTGTTGAAGATCGGGATCTTGTTCTTTATACTGAGTGCAGTGCAGTAGATCTCCACACTGATTTCAGGTTAATGAACGCATGTCTTGCTCTTCCGATGCTGGCTTTGACATTCTTGTCTGTGCCGCCTGTAACTGAAACAATGCTGCCTAGGTAGGTGAAAGAGGCTACTTTCTTTAAGTTTCTCCCGTTTATGGTGATTGGAGCTTGTTGTTGTTGTTGGTGGTGGTGTTGGTTGAGTATCTTCGTCACCTCTGTCTATTTTATAAGGTTTGGAGAAGTTATATTTGAACTCAAAAAAGACATCTAAACCATTCGCTTATCAATAGCGACTTCTAAAGACAGAAGGTTAAACTATTATAGGAAATAATATGAAAAAATTCCTTAATCAAGAAATTATCTTACATATAATGTGTAAATGTTTTCTTTTTGACTCTAAATGAAATTCTGTTTTGAGGTTTGTGACGGTTTACTGATTTCAGGTTGGTATTTATCATGGAAAAACCCAGTGGCTCAACGGTAACATGCCGGTTATAGGACCTGGAGGCTGTGTGTGCCGTTCCTGATGGAGTTGTAGGTGCATGCTGCCGAGGAGTCCCATAGTAGGACGAAACAGCTGCCCAGCGCTCCCAAGTTTCCAATGTATCTTTTATATAAAGTAAAATGAAACTTTTTTTCTCTACGTATTTACACGGTTACTTAAATTTATCCCAGCCCCAAAATAGCCATCTTGAATAGATCATTTTTTAAACATGTTACCTCGTACTTCCCTGTATTCAACACCATCTGGTGGTTTTTTCAACATTATTCAGCTATTTATAAGAAGATATCTTTGAGTAGCTCAAACGTTTCAACTTGAAGTTGTCTGAGAAGTCGGTTTGTTCAGTGTTCAGCAGTCGAGTTCTTACATTCAGATAACAATTTAACCAAATAGTGTTATGTTATTAAGGGGAAACTGATCCTTCTTTGCTAAACACTTCTTCACTATATAAATAACCTAAAGGCAACTTTTCGACATCTAGAATCTATTTCACTTTATACTGGGTGATGATTGAAGGTCAAATGAAAATTTCCACCGTGGTCAGATTCCAGTCAGCCATCTCTGGGTTTCCAACTCGATGCTCTACCAACTGACCTTTGAGATCCGACTGCTGACCAGATTTTTATTTCACTTCAATCACTCCAGTCACACTTGTTTGCCAAACTACGGCTATCTCAGATAGTCAAATGATATTCTACTCTTTACCGTTATCCTATATAGAGTAGATTTTGATATTTTCAAGCGTATAGTTCTATAATGCCTTACAAGTGATAGTCTTCTTCATGTTGTATGATTGAATTCATTTAACAGAAACCTCTGTTCAACTCATGTATCGCTTTTATCAGCCGACTTAAAGCAACTGATGTCCTCCGTAAATCACTTACCACGATAGTAAATATCTCATTCCAGTTAAGACAAAATCAATATGATCAATCAGTATAATTCTCCTTATTTTCTACATAGTTGTAACTTACCATACATTAAGTGTATTCCATTTAGCAGAATTAAAAATATATCAACAATTATAAATTGGTTCAAGTTTTAATGACCACATCTAAGAGAAAGCTGTCAGTATTCTTTTTTACACTTCTTTTCTTTGATCCCTAATCATTCTCAAGAGTGATTAACAGTCTTCATACTACTATATTTCAACTGGCAATTAGTAGTATTCATCATATGATGTTGAAATGAATAATTTATTTATCAATCATTGTAAAAATAATAATAATAATTATTATTATTTTCTATAGTTTTGGTTATGTGTGTATATTGCATAAAATATATGATTAGTGAATATGAAGCATATTTTTTTTGTTGCTTGCTTAAAAACACGTTTATAGTCACTTAATTGAGTACACAACACGCATGATAACAGAAACACCTTGATACACACCTGCATACACATTCACATGTTTTTATATGCATAACTATCTACAGTATCATAAAACAATTGCACAATGAATGAATGACCCTCCCAAAATTCATTGATTGATCAGGTTTATTCATGCACAGAAGATAGAGCACATATATAAGTATAAACATGAAACAAGATGGGTGATTACAATGATGAGTTGTATGAAAATGAAGTAATCGAATCGGAGTAAAAACTTCCACAATCGTGTGAGTCAAAAATTGTATGATTTATATATTCACATTTGCAAATGCTTCAACTTTTGACTGAGTAAGCCAGTGTTTCTATTCGATACCTTCACTTTCCTAAACGAGTATTTGTTGTTAGCTAAAACAGTGATAAGTTGAAGGAGAGTTGTGAGTAGACTGTAAGAATAATACGGATTAGATATACGCTTAGTAAATCAATATTATTTCGAAAATCATCTTGGTCCAACTTTCTGATGAAGGTCTATAATATCATGCAGCTACATCGGCTAAGGTAGCCATATATTCACCCAAGATATTTATGTTGTTGCTTTTGTTACCGCATCTTTGAATTGGCCGAATTGATCGGTTTCCATTGTCATATGGTCTTCTACGCGGATGCTTCGATACTGCCTATGTTTCAGTTACATATTACTGATGGACAGTGGCTAGCAGTGGAATACAGCTTGAAGCATGTGACTCGGTGGTTTACTGCCTTTCAATACGACTGGTCGCGGATTCGAGTCCAAGTGAGAGCGACAACATCCAGTGGGCAAGGCCTAAATTGGACGAAACCACTATCCTGGATTCATCAATATTATAAAATACTCAAAATATGAATTTCAGTTTCAGTGAAGGCAAGTGTCATTCTTTTCTCGTCTCAGCAGTGTGAGTGATTTGTCGGTATCTATGGTACACTTTCTATGCCTTTTTAGTAAATTATCGCCCTGCTTTTCATTCCGCAGTATGTGATTTCGTTTCACTTATGTACATTATGTAAGTGGGTATGTTATCAATCTTTCAACGACGACATTTTAAGGGTCTTAAATAATTGACATTATGCTGGTTACGTAATATTAACTTACAGATTGTACCTATTTTTTCATGAGGGTAGGATATGTGTAACTTATGCCTAGTCAGTGTCCACCTCATTGTGTAATGGTACGTCAAGTCGGTTTAGAGAGAAGGTAGGTTAAACATGGCTAGACTAAAGTATGGCACCAGTTCATATGAACAGTGTAGGAACCTGGAGACTTCCCAGTTGAAATCTGTTTGACAAAAAGGATCGGTGTTTACAGATACAGTGCAATCCAGTGTTCAAAATCAATCTCACTGGTATAGCTAAATCCATTCGTTATCTTCATTCTAATTGACAAATCTGTTTTTCTTATTTTTTCTTATCAACTTTATCTCCTCTTTTGTGATAATTTTTTTCCTGTTTGTATATACTTTTTCTTGATGTCTTGTACCCAGTTTGATTTCTTGAAGTGATGTATGGAAATCTGGGGGCATTACACAGTATTTGTTGGTTCCAATTCAACACCGACTAACCGACTGACTAACTGACGATTAAGGTTGATGAATACAACTCATTTCCTCTGTTAGGAGATGCGATTTCATTAGAGATTTACACAAATATTTTGTCCTAATAATTTAAACGTGTGAAAATCAAATTGAAACGCACTCATCAACTCCTATACACATTCATGCAGTAGGCGATGAACCACACCCCAGTGGGCTCGAACCCGTGACCCATTGGTTGAAAGTCGTCTCCACAAACCAATGAGCCACAGCTCCACACATTTAAGGGTGTTCATATATATATATATATATATATATATATATATGTGCTGGACAACATCCTTATTGTTTTGCTACTTGTAATTTCCCGTAGCTAAATAGGGCAGAATAGCTCGGCTTCTGTTTGCAGATGGGCTCCTATCAGGATGCCTCGACACTGCCAGATATTCATGATGTCCCGATCGTCTTAGTGACTAGCAGTGGAATTCAGGAAGCACGTTTCGTCCTATTTAGAGGGTGGGTTTGAGTCTCAGTGGGACCAACATCACTCACTAGGGTGCAGGTACATTCAGCTGAAGAGTTCCAAATGGGACGAAATTCCTTTCCGAGTCAACAAGATAAAAGTAACTTTAGGGTAAATCAAGTTTAAGAGAGAAAGAAAAAACACTAACTGAAATCTGATGAGTATTCGATCTCAGAAATTCAATGTTTAAGATATTACTTAATTTTCAGTAAAAAAACAACTCATACACATTCTACTACTGAAATGACAAATGAGTTTTTAGAAGTAGTATTCATCATGGACTGACGTTAGTTGAGGAACCATTGAAAATCTGGGAACACTGGACAGCCGTTTCGTCCCATTATGGGACTCTTCGGCAGTAAGTATTTGCCCTGAAACCTGAAGGTCCTGAGTTCCATCCCTTGCCGGGTCGTGGGTGCGTACTGCTCAGGAGTCTCATACTAGGACGAAACAGCGTCCAGTGCTCCTAAATTTTCAATTGTTCCCCAACTGATGTCAGTCCATGATGAATACTACTTCTAAATAAATTTTCCCTAAAATGACTGATTTGTGTTTCATTTCCTCTGTTCCCAATTCAACTGCTCTTATGGAACTCGTTATGTTGGCTAAATAGATTGTAATTGTAAAATGATGAAGTTAGTGTTGGAGAATGAAGGCTTCACAATTAATCTAATCTAAGTTTAGCTTATTTCGTTTAAACAGATCTATCACTTAGGCGAATCTTCAATAATTTACCAAAGGCTAGAGCATACCGAATACTTCCAATGATAGAAACTGTAGCCATTCAACTTAAAGAACCTGAATAGTGTGTACAAAATAAGAAATAGGTACAGATATTACACTACTACCTTAATCAGTTTAGGAATCAATGAGTCTCTGAGATAATTGATTTTAACTACTCACTATTATGTAAGATATATATATATATATCATCTGTAAAATCGATCATTTTCAGCTATATTAACTATCAACTGTCAGATAAAATCTGACTATTATTAATACACACATATTCATTCACTAAATAATATGAATGGATAAGTGTGGAGTCTGAAGAAGAAGTTATCGAAAAGAATATTCATTACTCATTATATAAAGTATGAGAATAAACAAAGGCAGTATCAGCTAGAGTGACCTTAATCACAGAAGGCGAATCAGTGATTACTTTGTTATTGTTGACAACAATAGACTGTTTCACAGTGGGATGAGTATTATTTCAAGTTATTTTATATCAAACATATTAGGGTCAACTTTTCATAGGCGATGAAAGTACTATTGTTAAGTATACCTGAGATTTCAGTTCAATATAGTGTTGCTGTTATGAGAGTAGATTAGAAAAAGCCTTGTAAAGGTCGAACACATTAACTCATTGACTTTTGATCTGTGGTGTTCACATACAGTTACAGTATTCTTAAGTGAATCAAAGAGTTCGAACAACAAAAATCAATAGGTGAAAAATTCAAATGATATGGCTAAGTATAAACATCTGTATCATTATTTATTATTTGTTCCTTGGGTTCCTAATGGAACATAGGGATTCAGTAGCACGTCTCCATTCCACTCTGCTCTCTGCAATCTTTTGAATCTGGCTCCACAACTGACCACAAGCTCGCATTTCTTCCTCACACCATCTCCTCCATGTCATCCTCACCTCGGACGCCCAACTCGTTGTTTCCCATTTGGCTTCCACTAGAGGGCCTGGCCTGGCATGTGATGTCCGCAAACCGGCTTCTCAGTGTATGCACAATCCAATCCATCTTCAATTTCGTCTTCTGTATATTTGTTGGGCAATGGGTTCTTTCGTTGGTTCGTTGCCAAGCCAGAATTCCTTGTTGCTTATTCTTTCTGGCCATCTGATCTCCATCTTCAGTATCGAGTGAGCGTAGATGCCAGCTGTTCATGTATGCCTGGAGTTTGTTTCAAATACTTTTCGTAAAGCGCCAACTCTCTCAACCATCACATAGAAGCACTGACTCACTTGACCAACTGAGTGTTGAAAATCCCGACCTTGTTCACACTTTATGCTGAGTGCAGTGAAGTGGAATAGAGTAGATCTCCACACTGATTTCAGAATAATGCAGGAAGGCCTGTCTTGGTGTCTTTCAGATCCTGGTTTTGACATCCTCATCTGTGCCTGTACCACCTGTAGTTGTAATGATGCTGCCTAGGTAGGTAGGTAGGTTGGTTGGTTGGTTGGTATGTAGGTGAAAGGAACAACTTCCTTTAGATTTCTCCTGTTCACAGTGATTATGGCCTGTTGTTGTTATTGTTGGTTGGGTGTCTTCATCACCTCTGTCTTCTCTATGTCCACCTGAAGGAAGTCCCGTCTTTCTTGACTGCCCTGCCTTGCCCTGCCCTGCCTCTTCTGCCAAACTGTTGGTTTTCACCCGTAGATCTTCCAGTTTGTGCCACATAAGACGTAAATCATCACCGGCGAAATCCAAATCTTCTTCTGGGGTATTTTCATAGGTCAAACAGCCTATGTCTCTAATTTCCCTCCTCATAGTTTTATGTTGCTTGATCCAGTCGAGTCGAGTTGAGTTGAGTTGAGTTGAGTCGACCACTATCAGGAAGATGATCGTTGATGGTGGGCGGCAACCTTGTCTTACCTGTCAACCTGTCTTCATTTCGAAGGCATCAATGAGCTTTCCGTTGTGAACCACTTGATATGTAGCATGTAGCATCGTATAGCATATAGGTGATGTTGAATGAGGTTGATAAAGGCTTTGTGGCATCAGAATCATAAAGTTGAAGCAACTGCTTCGACACTATAGAAGTGATTTTCAAGGTCGATGAAGTTGAGGTGGAGAAGTGACTCCCATTCTACACTCCGTTCTTTGATGATGCATAGCGTAGCACTGCAATTCGATCCACACATGATTTGTTCTCCCTGAATCCAACAAGCCTGTCCTCGTCGTAATTTCAAATCGAGAGCATTTTTTAGTCTCTCCAGGATGATGCGGCCTAATATTTTTCTTGTTATGGACAGGAGTGGAGTATGATTCCTCACTAGGTCTCCCTTCTTTGATATTTTGACAAGCTAGCCCTTCTTCCAATCTGCGTGTACCTTTTCTTCCTTCCAAACCTTATGCAATATTGGTGTGAGCAGGTCCGCTGATGTCTCTTCGTCTGTTTTCAGTGTTTCTAGAGGAATTCCATCTGGTCCTGCTGCTTTCCCGGATTTCGGCTATATTTTCATCTCATTCTGTATAAAATTTCTTAGGCAGAACAAGTATCTCAGCAGTGAGTCTCTTTTCGATAATTGTATTCCGAAAGCTGTACAACGACAAATTTTTACTTCTCTCTTGTGCTTTGATTGGATAATATAAAGTGATTTGTCAAGCATGGCAACACAAATAGTGTCCATAATGCTGGTCGTCATTAAAATCCAAAACTGCGATGAAATATGAAGACCAATTGGAATACGACTGGTATTATACAGAGAATAATAAGTTTGGATAAGAATTTTCATAACATGATGACATACTTCCATTTTAGTCTGTTTATTAGAAATGTCACAAAGTGAAGGATAGCGTTTCGGACACAATTTATTGTCCATATTTATATAGGATAACTCCATAACTCTGAGATAGAGTTTACATAGTCCTAATTTTCCCTCTTTCTTTATATCCCATATATCTGGGACAGCTACAGAATCACTTCTGTTACTGTATGTATTTGGTATTGGTTCGATAAACAGAGATTCGGTTATCAATCTCTCCCTCCCTCCATCAAATTAAGCTAGTATTTAAAACTGTTGCTCTATCCCACCCTACTGTGTGATGGTTTGCGATCACATGCACAACTACTACGGAACTCTTCTCTTAATTTCTTATCTTATTAGGATCTAGTAATCTTGATTTAGCCATGCTAGCGTGCTTTGTTACTCTAATCGACCCTGGTCGACTACTCTGATCTATGTATTTCATATAGCAGTTATTACAAGGGATTCGGTAAACCAGATTATTTTGCCTAATTGCATCAATAGGATCTTTTAACTTACAAAGCTTGTTTCTAAGCGAGTTTGTTGGTTTGAGTGCCACTTTAATCTCAGCTAGCTTTGTTGAGAATTCTTCGTAATGCTTCTGAGGTACCTTCCTTGCATGGTAACACAGCAGAGGCTTTGAATTCTCTCTCAACCCTGTCACCGTTATTACTATTATTAGTAGAATTATTACTGATAACATCTGTTTTACTACTAGTACCACTGCGAATATCTTTATTTCGGTTTCTTATAAATTTATTTACAAATTCACATGGGTAATTATTGAGACGCAGCGTATTCGTGATGCGTCTAACTTCTCGTCGTATATTTTCTGGCCTACTAGGAAGCTTTTCCGCCCTATCACTTAGGTACTTAACTCAGCCTACTTCTACTAGTGCTTATACAACCACTATTACTACTACTGAAACTGCTGACATTAATACAGAGATTGCAATCAATACCACCATTACTACCAATGAGTAAAATGAGCAGTTAAAATCTTTTCATACTGAAATGATAGAGTATCCTCATGATCAAATAATTAATTTAGACAAGTTCCCGTTTGTGGTTACTGTTTGTCTGTAACTGTATTTCGGAAACAGATACTTATGTGGACAGTATTTTATCATTAAATCGAACACTGACTGCTTTAATAGATACAGGTCATATAACTTTCCTAAATTTTTATTTTATTTAGCTGAAAATGACAGCTGCTCAAAGAATTAACTATCCAACAATAACAAAATGTGACCTATGGAAAGAAAACTACTTTGGGAAAGATGTAGGTCCTGCTGGAGAGTTGATTAAGTATACATAGTTATAGATGCTACAACAATATGATTATTTGACCGATTTTTCTCTTTCTAACCTTATTCATTCATTTTGAGTACCTCTTTATGCAATGCTTCGAATAGTAAAGGCAACAGTGTCATAAAGGAGTATTTCGATGAAGCATTGGGTGAAGCTAAGAAGTACAGAGCAGCTCCGTTTATGTAATTGTGGTGTTAGCTGCAAATATTTCTCATCCGTCTTTAATTGGTATCTTATGTTTTATATATTGACTGGCCGCGAGAGAATAACTTATTTCATGTTATCTAGTCCTTAGTCTTGAACGAATTCTGTTAACGACTTTTGCAATGTGGCCACCAAGCCAAGAGGCTCAGCACCACAGTGCACATTGGTGAATGTTAATTGGTTGGAGGTAATCAACAGGAAGCCTTAAACCTGAGTTTCGCGCTTGCTAGCACTCATCAGCAAGGCGTATCAGCATTCTCATCCAAACTTATGTCCCACCTGAGATCTGAACCCACATGACTCAATGTTGTAGTCAATGACATCACCATTCGAGCGGCTGTTGACCGCAAACGTCGTCGTTAGAATTCTTTAAAGACTCATGGCTAGATAACACGAAATCGGTAGCTCCGTAGTCCTATAAGAGGTCAATCGCGTCCTGAGATGTATGGTCACGTTACTGACTACAATATTGGGTGATGTGGGCATGAATCTCATGCGATATGTCAGTTCCATCGAGGTCGGAAATAGGCCTTACTGACGAGTCCTAGTATGCCCGACTGACCCAGTCAACTAACATTTCATGTTATGTCATAAGGCAATGTGTACCAAAAAAACTGCAAGACGGTGTCCCAGTGTAAAGTCATACATAGTAGGACAAGGCTGGTAATCCTTAAGATACAGATGATTAACACTTTGATTGGTAACTAGAGTTTCAAAGATACTACCAGTATGACTAAAAAAGACTACTGAAGAAATAGGGTGCCTAAGATGCTTGTTAGGAAGAGAGGAAAAAGAGAGACCTTCGGAGCTGATGTAGTCTGCAGCAAAATAATTTTAATAGTGGTCAAAAGTTTTCACTTCATTGAAGAAAGATGCCATTTTTACACCAGGAACTAACTGATGCTCGAAGGTATGTAGGTGTAACTTCTTCCTTCGTTTCATCAACGGAATTCATGCGCAACCGAAAAACTTTGTATTTATTCCGGTATTTCAACCCATTTGTCCTATTTTTGAAGTCGCTCGTAAGACCAGTGCCACTATCTCCAGGTAGTTTGAAAAGGCATCCAGGAAGTCTAGATACGCCCATAGCTTTAGTGAAACCGGCAAAACTGATGTGAATGCATGATCATGGAGTCTGGGTTTGGGGCTATGGTGCGGAAAGTTTCCACTTGCTGGTGGCAAATAAGTTGTGAACGGACCTGTAATGATGTTATGACTTGAAGGGATCAGTAGCATAACAGCATATTTAGTAATTAGAAAAGTGACACTGAATCTTGCGGTTTGTAGGAAAAGAACTAGCATCAGACGATTAACTGAAATAAAAAAATATTACCCATTGGATTCTATCCAGACAACTGATTGGGTCGTGTAACATATTCCCCCTAAGATTTGATAGTTATGAGTTCATTCTCTTACGGAGATACAGATAATCATTCGTGAACATTTTCAAATCGTAGGGCGTATTTCCTTTCAAAAGCTGTCCGAATGAAGTTTGCGACAAGAATCATCCTCGGAAGGAGATACAACTTGTTGTTATGCTTTCAAAAACTGCGTTTACATAGTATATCTATAAAAAGTTTTTAAAACTGAATAATCAGTCCAGACATTTATCTACAAAATCTTCCTTAATGTATCAGTGATAATTCAAACGACAGTAGCCTATCCTTCAATCTCAGATCAATCATTAGTTAGTAGTATTAAGGCATGATTTATACCAGCTTCCTATTCTTGCTTTAGTGGCTTAATGGATAACACTCCGGCGTTTGAAGCGATGAACACAAGGTTCGAGTCTCAGTGAGAACACTCATTGGGGTTCAGGCACATGTAACTGAAGAGATATGCGTCCTAGATTTCTCTGCTAGCCACCTAGATCAATATTATTTCCTATGTTCCTTGACTAGTGGGATTAATAGTACTCCTATTAAAAATCATCCGATGAGATTGATAATACATAGGTATCACATGATGAAGGCAGTGAAATATCGAAGGGAACAGACTAAACTGAATATATGCATTACTACCCTACTTCATATTCGTAGACATATTTTATCTTATGAATTTGTTGATTATCTGTTTCTTTCAATCACTATTCATCTTGATTTCAAGATACACGATCCATATAGATGGTTGGAAGATGAATATTCCAAAGAAACTAATGAATTCCTTAAATTTCAAATGAAACTAACTGAAACCTTTTTGAAAAAGTGTCCATACACAGAGGAATTTCGGAGTTAGTAAGTTATTTTGAGTGAATGTAAGTGTTCCAACTGTATTATTAGTTTACAGTCAATGTGTGAATTTGATCAATGCACTTGTCCAATTATTCGTGGGATAAATTATTTCTATTGTTTTAAACCTCCACATTTGAATTATGCGTAAGTTTATATTATTTGAAATGACCAAAAAGATAAAAATGAATAATTTATATAAATCTAGTGTTCTTGAAGTAATACGAGAGAAAACAAATTTTCCAGAAATTGTATTGGATCCTACATGTATCGGTTTAGAGAATTCAGAAAAAGTAACAGCTTTTAATATCTCTGATTGTGGAACTTATCTATGCTATGAAGTTGTTAATTCATGTGTTGGCTGGTACAAACTGAATGTAAGTTAAGTTTATGTTTTCATTGAATATTCTAGCGTTTACAGAAAAGTTATAAGAAAAAATGGTTTGAAAAAAATTTGGGCATTAGGTCAAAATGATATTCATTATTTTGGTATTTGTATTTCCCAATTAGAATGTAGAACAAAATAAATTTGTTTCAATTGACCTTTTGCTATACCTAATGTTGCTAATATCTTTATCAAGGTTATAGTAAACAGGAATTTATGAAATAATCCAAGCTTATATATATATATGATAACCTGTCATGTGTCCTTCTGCATGAATGAATTGTAGAATAAATATGGTAATGTGTTGTATGTTAACTATAGATTGAAATTTGTACTTACCCAAGTGTTGTTAGTTCTTATCGCATGTATGATGGTTGTGTTAGTATATGGGGTTGGGTTGCGTGCAACACCAGGTCAAACTACTTTCTACTCCCTCATTCCTATTTAGACAATTATGATTCTGAGGGAGTTGTGGGGATTTGGAAATATTTCTAGTTGTTATTCATCGTAGACTGAAATTAGTTGGAGGAACAAAGGAAACCTGGGAGCACTGGACAGCTGGCTGTTTCTCCCTAGTATGAAACTCCCCACCAGTGCGCACCCACGACCCCTCCAGGGACCGAACCCGCAACCTCCAGGAATTAGTGGTATATTGGATATCAACCTAGAAGCAGAATGGTAACAGATTCACCAAGCGGCCAGACTGTCCACCGCGTCGTCCTTCATGGGGTCGGGGGTGCACTGTACTGAGGAGTCTCAGACCACGGTGAAACGACTCTGCAGTGTTTCTCCAACTGATGTCAGTCCAAGAGTAAAACTGCTTTCAAACCAAAAAAATCCTACTTTTTTAACCGAAATACAATTTTTGCTCATCTGAAAGCTACCTGAGCACACATAGGGGGCAAGTATTTTCACTTAGTTCAGTTCAGAAAGAGTTACACAAGAATAAACGAAGGAAATTACGTTAACATATAGTGAATCATGTAGTTTAGTCAGCAGTGGGCGACTGATGTAACTGTCTAGTCCCCGATATCCAGCACTGACTGAAATCTGTCGATCGAGTTTAAAATATGGCCACTGACGAAGTGATGTGACACTGTTATCCAATGTGTTTTGAGGTTACATTTTAGTTGTGTGCTGTTAGGCCTGTTCAAGTCTCTGACAAACTGAACTTTCTGAAGACTCACTGGTAAAACTGAACACTTAACTACAACGAACCCCTTTATTGTTCAAGTTCGATTCCATCAAAATTGGAACAGAAATATCTAATATTTTATTCTGTAAGTATTTCAGAGTTAATAGAGAGTGTGACAAAGGATAACCTAAACGCTTTATAACATCTCATACTTTACTTGGATATAATTTCAAAGCAGTGTTGTTTACATAATTCATCTACAGCGTGAAGTACGTGAAGAACTACAAAGAATTTTGTAGAGGTTCCATCAACCACAGTGTATGGATGATGACAAATACATGTCAATGTACTTGATCCAGTTTTACAGGAGATCAATCACTACTTGGACAGTTCAGTGGTAACGTCTCCAACCGCAACACTTAGTGCAGTGGGTTCCAATCTTATAAGAGATACCAGTTCCTTCAACCTTAAGGATATTCCATGATGACGAGTACCAACAGGTACTAAACTCGTTTAACTGAAGTGGAGATTCTTACCGATTATTCCTAGCCATATAGAATCAACCAAAGTGCACCACGATGGTGAGTTTCGTAGCTTGGTGCCCACGCTGCGGAAATGATCAGTGAAATTTGATCAACAATCTAAACTAGACAACATGAAACTGCTAACTCTCAAGTGGGAGACCAAAGTATGTGATCCAGTACTACAGGACGTTTATCACTGCCTGAATAGCTCACTCATAAGACTTGTTACTGTAGCACGAGTGATGCAAGTCTGAATCTCTCAGGAAACAACAATTCCTCTGAGACTGCAGGTACACCTTGGTGACGAAAGTCAACAAGCGCTAAACCTATCTAAGTGAAGAGGGGTATCCTTTGAATCATCTTCAACCAGTTCTTTTCATTTGAGAGTAAGTTTATAATTCCTGTCTATCACCGACTGACATCATCTGGAGGAACAATGGAAACCTATGGACTCCTCATCAGTACGCACCCGTGACCCCACCAGGCATCGAAAACAGGACCTTTTATTTTTGTCGAGAATACATCAATCACTCAGTAAATAGATTGGGGTTCAATGGTTCATAGTTTTCTAGTCTTGTCATTTGGTGACACAGCGCATTGATCCATCAAAATATTTAGTTGACTTCCATTTCACTTCTAACTTGTTGACCCACATGTCACTGGTTCTCATAAGAACGTTTTAGTTGTTTACTACGGATGAATCCCATAATAGGACGAATCATATGTTCAAGGTTTCAAGGTCTTCAGTGGTTCCACAACTCATGTCAATGCGTGATAAATACTACCTCGAACTAAATCTAGGTTATAACTGTCAGGTAAATTGTTTATGCTCATAGTAATGAGCGCTGAAATTTTCCATTTGTATAGTAAATAATAGAAATATGGAAATGACATGATCTTTACGAATAAACTGTTAATTCCAAAATGTCAGAGTCCATTGCATACTTTTGTAGCCTGGTTTTGTTGGATTCCAGGTATTTTAAGCTTCTCTAAAGGGTTCAGACAATTGTATCGCTTTCAGATAAAGCAAGAAAGGTAAAATTGGCCGAGTAAAACAATGACATCATCATTTCATATCATGAATACTCCTCAGCTACATCTATCCAGTCTAAAAGTACAATAGTTATTAGGAAGTGAAATATTGTAAAATTAGGCTAAGTAATAATCTCAAGTTGCAATACAATAATATGTAAGTAAATTAATTTTAATGGGGCAAGAACTTTAAAAAAGGAGAAAATATTCAAGAAATAAATAAAGAGTTATGTAATTGAACTGAAAGTGAAACAGGATCAAATCATATTCATCAAAGGAGTGAGAGACTAATCACTTTCTCTTTCTGTATGCAGAGGTCAGGTTAAAAGCCTTTTATTACAATCTGTTTCACAAGACTCATTAATCTAGACATTTTTTGTGCATTTATTATTTTGAAAGCACTTGAAATTGTAACTTGATGTCTTCAGTCTATGAAGAATTTAATTCCTCTCAAAAACTAGTTCTTGAGTATATTCCTAGCGAACCAAAAGGACGTCCTTCTCTCAACCCCCTTCATTACATTTGCTACTGTAAATGGGTATGAATTCAAAAATACAGTTGGAGGTGATATAAGCAGGGTAATTATTCAATCTTAACTCGTTTAGCTGTTCACTTTTTAATAATATTATCATTGGTTTTTATAGTTTTCACCATAATTCACCATATTCCTCCTGTTTAGCACTATTGTCTAGCTAATAATATGATTTACTATCTTCTTTTTCGTCTCCTTAGTATTAAGCGTTCACTTTAAAACATCCCCTCAAGTCTTTTCACATTTCCACTTGACGTGTTAAAGCCGTTCATTTCACTGTTGCCATAACTCAATTAATTCGCTATGGAGGCTTATGAGGATTTATTGATTTCAAGTTGGTCTTCATCATGGACTGACATCAGTTAGGGGAACATTGGAAACCTGGGAACACTGGACAGCTGTTTCGTCCTGCTTGTACGGAACTCCTCAGCAGCGCACACCCATTACCGCTCCCCACCTCGTCACCGATCGAACCCAGGACCTTCAGGTTCCGTGGCCACCACGTTACCATTGAGTTACTGGACTGGCAGAACCTAACGGTTCATAATCCAATGCCATTGCTTAGTATTTGTCTTCACGTGCTCACTGCTGAGGAGTCCTACACCAAGACAAAATAGCTTTCAGTGTTTCCAGGTTTCCAATGTTCCTCCAAATAATGAGCTCATGATGAATATCAATTTGAAATCAATAAGTCCCTAAAAGCCATAAAATTGAAACAATCTAGTGCTACTTGATGACTAGCTTCGAGAGATGGTTCCTAAAGTTCGAATGATAAGTCGTGATCAGTGGAGTAAATACTCTAAGATAACATTGGGTTATAATCACACGTCGTGAACCACCAGAAGTTGGAACTATCTAACTCAGTGGCTCAATGGTAACGTGCTGGTCATGGAACCCGGAGGTCGTGAACGTGCACTGCTGGGGAGTCTCAGTGATCCCGGGTTTTCACTGTTCCTCCAACTGATGTCAGTGCATGATGAAGACTTACTTGAAATAACTTAATTAATATCTTAAGAACACTATAAGTTAACGACTGTTATAACATGGAATAGTGTACACCAGCTCATATGTTTCCACGGAATAAAAATAGATTAGATATATAAAAGGATTTCTTTTGGTTCATATTACTAAACACTATCCGGAATTGTCAACAGTTTCTCACACTAGTAACACGAAAAGTTCTATCACATGCCACCTCGAGGACTAGGTTTCTACTACTGACATCTGTAAAGGTTTCAACTTCATATGTGAATAGTTGAATAAAAGACCAGAGGCTTTTATTATTCGTCTGCATGTACAGCAAGTTTGTGTACCCGAAAATTCGGTAATGATTTCAAACTGTTTATGTTATTATTTCACTTCCTTATTTCTGTCTCCCCTATATGAAGAACAGGTTAGAAAATGTCGACAGTAAACATGGAACACTCTGTTGATATAAGTGTAAAACTTGTACACTGTAGTACAATGTAGTTCCATTTTTATTGATTTATTAGATTTATCACACAGTGTAACAGTATTGTTTACTGGATTACGTTTAGGACATAATCTTGACATGACTATGGACAATAAATTATGTCCGAAAAGTAATCCAGTAAACAATACTGTCACACTGTGTTATAAACCTAATAAATCTATAAAAACGGAATGGAACACTCCCCCCTATCTTGTGGTCATTCGATGTGGAAGACATAAGTTTTCATAGACTTGATTAAATACAAACAACCTTAAATCTCAAACTTTCCAAAAAGCTAAATATAATCGTTCTCAAA